ATACTAATTGCCTTCTAAATGAATTGGGAACTGAGACTGACATGTTAGTTGTGACTTCAGTCCTAGGCAGTGTCTAAATCAACAGTGCTTGAAAGTGAAACCTCAGGCTTATTTGAAGCTTCTATAATAATACAAATAAGCTAGTCTGAACTACTCTTGGTCATCTTTTGAAGACAATAAGAAGTTTTTAGGCTGATCAGGGTTTATTTTTCTGTCTGTAATAGCTTGAAAGCAGTTCTTAAGTTTTGACAGTTTATCTTGCTGTATGCCTGACTAGGACTGGCACGTTTTGTTTCATTAGTATTTTACTATTGCATTAGGAAAATACAGCATAATGTGTATGCTTCATCCCATAAACTGCTCATTCCGAGGCAAACCAACGATCCCTTCATTTTATGTGTCAAATAAAAAAGCCCCACATCTATATTTAGGTAACTTGCTCACAAGATACGGCAAGATATTCTTACTCAGTGGGCAGCACAGTGAGTTGGCAGTGATGGTGTTTCACATGACTGATAATGCAGAAGTTTCTCTTGGTAGTGCTGAGGGTAGGACAAAGAATCGTGATGAAGAGGGAACAAGATAGAGATAGTTCACAGTATTCCCAAAATACCTATCAGAAGAGCTGCTTAAAAATAACCACTACTGCATGCCTGTGGTATTTTGGAAAAGGGGAATTGATATGTGGTAGAAAAGATTCTGTTTATTTAAAGATTTACTACTATTTCCAAACTCATTTAAAGGCTACAAGGGATCTCACTTCGTCCAGAGGTAACTTTAAGAGAACTATATATACAGTTAACGTTACAGATTACTTCAGAGGTAAAAGTACAGAAAGAGTAATCAGTAAATACAAGCCTGCTTTCTGTTTCAGCAGAAAAGCCATAGTATTTATGATGAAAGGTTAAAGCATAAGGTACAGGGAGAGTCGCTTGTTTTCCAGCAAGTGGCTGATAAAGGCAGATCAACACAGTGACTTTGTCACCATCTCCTCTGAAGAAGAGGACACGAGATGCCACTGGGAGTGCATCTACCCGTGGCCACAGTATCGCATCCTGTCCCTGGACTGGCAGCTTGTTTGATTCTGGAAAATGGCTGGGTGTGAACTGACTTTTGATCATTAATCATGTAATCATCCACTGTGGTTTTTCTTCAAAAAACAAAGAAAGAAGAAAAAAGAAAAGAAAAACCCACACCAAAAAAAAAAATCAACAAAATGTATCAGGTGGAAGAACCTGAGGGCTGTGTTAGGCTGAGGGCTGAGCAAATACAGGATAAAGACGTATAGGGATTATTCTGAGGTGCTTTGACTGGTGGGGCAGATATTGGAGGCAAGATTTGGTAGATGGTTCTCTCCGCTCTCATAGTTTGCTTTACAGGAGTAGTAGGTACACACACACCACAAAGGCAAGAAAAGGAGTTTACCGTTTAAATGTTGTGATTCCCAGGAAGAAAAAAAAATTATATGGTGAGTGACTCTCATCTGTGGACACTAAACTTCCTAAATCATCAGTAGTTAATTATTAAAAACTTTTAGTAGTTTGTTACTGAAACTTCCTATTAGATAAGCTGATTAATTGTTAATTTAGAAAATTCTTCACCCAACACAGGCCAGCTAGTTTGATCGTCATCCTTCAGTGGTGACAGGGTTATGTTTGTGCAAGCAGAATACAGCCTCACCTAGAAATATGCTTGTTTCCGACTTCAAAAAGGGCAGATTTTCCAAAATTTTAAGTGTTAGCACAGTTGCTCTGAAATGTTTAAATGAAAAATGATAGCAAAATCTGGGAACGGGCATCCTGTAGAACAGGCTTAGGCAAAAGGGCTGTAATTTCACAAGTGTGGAAATAATGTTTTCTTTGTGGGAAGGAGTCCTGGTTAAAGGAAACTAAAGCAGCAATTAAAACAAATATTAAGGATAGGAAAAAGGGCAATAAAATGTCCATTAACAAAAGTAAATGTTGATGAATAAGGAACTAAAAAGTAAATTCCAGTGTGGTTAGAGATAAAGTGCTCAACACATTTTGCAATGGGGAAAAAAAAAAATCCCAGATCAGATGTAGATACAGTGACAGATGTGCATGGTAAAACTGTAAATGATATAGGAAGGAGTAGCAGTAGATATTTCTGTTGCAGGTTTCAAATAAAGCAGGAGGATATATCTACCTCCTGTAATGCTACAGATGAAATGAAGATGTTTTTCATCTATGAAATAAAAGGATATGAGATGGTGTCTGCTAAAATAACCATTCTCAGGCCAACAAGTCATATGACTGTGAATTAATAGACTAGACAAGGAGTTTTCTGAACTGCTGAAGTTAACAAGTAACTGCAGAAATCTTAGCGTCCTGCTAGTGTGGTTCCAGGGGAAGCTCCAGTGAGAAGCCGCCTTTTTGCCTTCCTGAAGCTCGTGGAGGCTCCACGGGGATGGTGTCTGCTAAAATAACCATTCTCAGGCCAACAAGTCATATGACTGTGAATTAATAGACTAGACAAGGAGTTTTCTGAACTGCTGAAGTTAACAAGTAACTGCAGAAATCTTAGCGTCCTGCTAGTGTGGTTCCAGGGGAAGCTCCAGTGAGAAGCCGCCTTTTTGCCTTCCTGAAGCTCGTGGAGGCTCCACGGGA